CATGCCTCTTCAGCATCTAAATTTCCCCTTCTGTGAAAGATAGAATATCAGGGAAAAAATAATTTAACATGCATGTTTGACATGTAAGTTCCTTATGTATAAAGAGCTTGTGAGAGGCATTCAGTGATGGAGTATTCAGAAGAGCTTGAATTCAGCATGTATTCAGAAAAGCCAGAATTACTGTGCATCTCCCAACTGTTTTTGGTGACTGATTATTATCTGCTTAATGCTGATATGTAAAAAACATTACACCAGCTGATTTCGATGATAAAACAAAGGAAATGTTCCCTCCTCCAAACTTTCTACTTGATTTGGCTTAAAATGTGAGGAATTTCATGGGATATGTTTTGGGAGTATTTGTTAAAATCACTTCATACATTTTTATTATATCATTATAAAAATGGAACATAAAAATTACATTAGTCTTCTTAAGTTCACTTGATATAACTTTATTATACTATACTTTACTATACTATACTATACTATTTTATTTTATTTTTTTTGTAAAAAAAAATATTTTCAACTTTACAATACATAACAATCTTACAAATACTTCAGATAAAAAATAAAACAAATTGATACACGCCACATCGGTCTTGCCCGCCCATTTCCCCCCAAACCGCATCCCACCTCAAACCAACTTACTTCTTCCCCTCTTTTTCTTCACTCACCCCCTCTCCTCCTTCACCTATTACAGTGTTTCCCAAACTTGACAATTTTAAGGCATGTGGACTTCAACTCCCAGAATTCCACAGCCAGCAATGCTGGCTGTGGAATTCTGGGAGTTGAAGTCCACATGCCTTAAAATTGTCAAGTTTGGGAAACACTGACCTGTTATATTATTATTTTTAGGGCAGGATGCATAGCACACTGTGTTCCAAGTTTTCCATGCAACAACATTCCTCTCAAGTAGGTTGGACTAAGAAAGGGTGACTGGATCAAGGTCACTCATTGAGCTTCTGGGCTGTGGGTGGACTTAAACCTGCATCTTCCTGGTCCTAGTCCAACATCTTAATCACTTCACCAATCCAGCTGTAGTTAATACTTGGCAGAATCTTTGATGTTAATCAAGAACACTGTTGTTTCTTCAAGCCATATTGTCCATTGAAACCATCAGAAAGATTTCTCAGCAACCCCTAGTCTGTATTTATAAACTTACTTTTTTTAACGGTTGACTTGAAGGACATTCAACTTTACTGATCGATAATAGGGAACTTTTTAGAATGCAGGCTAGACTTGTGATGAATTAAATTTTAAAAGGAGCAGGCACTGAAAGTTATAGAAATCTTAGAGACCCCGTCCCAACTTTCTTTAAAATCTTTGAACCTACTGAAGTTTTCTTTTTTCTCCACTGACACTTTAAAGAACAATGACCAAGCACATTTCTATCAGGCTCCCTTAGGACAAAGAGAGCTTCTTTTAATGTGCAGCTTGACAGATCTTAGAAAGTCATTGGGATTTTTGTTGTTGTGTTTCTTTGTCTTAGACTTCTTTCAATATCCCAATATTTCTTTGTTTTGCCGTTTGATTTATACCAATTTATTTCAAACCTTTAAAGTATGGTTTAGAATGGAGCAGTCAATAACAAACCTGAACAAACACCAAATTATTCTACAGATTTACTTCACCCATGATGGATCATTTGGAAGAGACATGGAGGAAACAAAAATGGAAAAGAGAATGAAATTGAAGACAATGAACTATTCAACTCTGTAGTGTTTTCAGAAAAAATGTTCCACCAAGTTCAGTGAAGTTAATCTGTTGGCAAAGTACTTGGGCTCCAAAGACAGTTTGAGTTTCTCAAACAATGGTGCTCCATGCTACATTGTAAACTATGTCTTAACCAGTGATGGTGAACCTTTTAGAAACCGAGTGCCCAAACTGCAACCCAAAACCCACTTATTTATCGCTGGGTGCCAGGTGGGCGTGGCCCACTGGGTGGGTGTAGCTGTGGTGGTCATGGCAGATTGGGTGGGTGTGGCCAAAGTAGGCGTGATCACCTCGATGTTGCTCGTGGGGAGAGACACTTGTGGGGGCATGGGTGCTGGGATGCATCCGGCCATGTGGGACCTCAGCGAGTTAGCGGGCGGCTGGTTGAAGAGGGATGGTTGCCATCTCTGGGGCATGGCATGCGTGCCTACAGAGAGGGCTCTGAGTGCCACCTCTGGCACGTCTGCCATAGGTTCGCCACCACTGTCTTAACCTAAGGAGACTTTCAAATGCTCTTGATCTGGCATAGTTTTTTTCAAAGTGCTGAAGAAAAATCTTGTGATTCCTAAGAAACCTCTTTCTAGATGTTAATTTTTCCTTTTTGAAATATTATACATATGTAAATACACACATAAAGAACTGAAATACTGTACTACATCAAGTGGAATAAATATAGATGAAGAATATTGTTGTGCACATAGAGGCTACTGTATTTAAATGTTTCCTATCTGATCATGGAAAATAAGTATTTAGTTGAAATTGTTTTCTACAATATTTTTGCTGCCCTCAAGTATATAGGGGTGACTGCTATTACGATTATAATGACTGTTGCAGTATCATTTTATAGTTAAGTTTATCTTGAAATTATTGATTACTTGTTTAAAGAATTTCATGAACAAGGCTAGGGTTAAAATACTTGCCCGGGTGAGCATTCCCTTTACAGTGCAAAAGATGAGTTTGTAACTGCAGTTTGGCAACAGAATTTAAAACTGTGAATAAATGCATGATTGGTATTTGATTTTATATCTTTCTGCTTCTCTATACAGTTTGATAAGCTGTGTGCTTGTATTTCTGTTTTTTTTAAATATTCTTTCTAAATTTTATCAGCTTTTCTTCAATATCTTCTGAGTTTCCCATTTTGAATATAAATTTCATTTTAAGTTTGCCTAAACTTAAATATCTAGCTATTTCAGGCTAAATTGCATAGAAAGTGTCAATTAAATAAGATAATCAATTATGTTTCATTATATTCATCATAGTTTCCTGTGCTTGGTGAATTCAAAGCAGTCATCAATGCTGGGATATTAGCTTGAATATATTCATTAAGAAGAGCTAGGAATAATTTTGCTATTTAAACAGAAAAAACTAATATGTAGATCAACAATGAAAAATAAATATGAGCAAGTTACAAATATTTTATAGGCAATGTCCAATACATACAAATATACACATTAATATAACCAGGTATCAAATCTTAAGACTGAAGATTTCTAATAAAATAAAGTAACTATATTTTTTATGATGATGAAAGGGATGAATGTCCTTGATTCATCAATAACATCACTTTTTTAAAAAAATATCTAAAATAATGAAAAAATAGCAGTTTCATTATAATATCCTTATTTCATGAAAGAAAGAAAAATAAGGAAGGAAGGAAGGAAGGAAGGAAGGAAGGAAGGAAGGAAGGAAGGGAAGAAGGAAGGGAAGACCAGAATAAATACATTTACCTACACTTTATATTCTATTACAACATTTAGTTCCTTGACTTTAAGTTTAGCAGAACAAATAAACATCATTATCTATTGTTCTAATGATATTTTAGTAAACTGGATCTTTTAAAGGGTAAGAGAGTATGCCCCTATTTCATGTAGCTTCCTGAGGAAAATTGATTCCCCCCCTTAAAATCATGGTGAGAAAGAATAAATACTGTTTCCGATGTTTTACACATTGTATAAAATTGTTTTTAAAATAAAAGGATTTTATTCAAGGAAGATGTGAAATAGTTTATAGATTGAAGTATTATATTGCCACTACTATAAAACAGTACAGGATATAGTTATTCTCATATCTAACATGTTTTATGTTTAAATTTGTAAGACTGATAATACAATTCATTCTATCATGTCATATTAGCTAACCTTCTAGGCATGGAAGGTCATCTGAAAAAAATATGACTTCAATATATATTTCCAGCATTGAATATAATACTGAATATTTAATCATGATAGCCAGTTACAGTTGCAATGACATTGCCTTTTTTTAAGGTACACATGTCGAGGTGAGAGATAAGAGACTTGACAAATGAATTTGACACATGAATAAGAAGCACAAAAATTGTAATTTAATACATAGGTTCTGAATAAAACAATGTTGAGCAGGAAGACACAGAAAATGGCAGAACTGATTCTGGTACACATTAAAATGAGACAATGGGTAACTTGCAGAAGGACTTTAGTAGAACAAATGAAGAGATAATAAGATGTAGCAAAGCAATAACTTCAGAAGTCTTATAGCAAAGATCACAATGTTTCACCTTGTAGCAAAATGGAATCAGTACAGAGGATATTGTTTATGGATTGAACAAGGAAGCAATTACAGGAAAAACAATAACCAAAAATATTGTATTTGGATTGGCATGAACAACTGCTGATAAAATTTAAAAAAAAAACAGATTTCATAGTTACTGGAATGAGAAAGCTATATTGATGTATAATATTACATAGTCAGGCCCCAACCAGAAAAGATATGTAGTGATACTTTTAAGCTGAGTTCTTTATTGTTCCACACCTATAGACAGAATCTTGCCAAATTGAAGCATTCTCTATCCCCATCTACTGTGTAATCCAGTGTTTCTCAATCTTGACAATTTTAAGGCATGTGGACTTCAACTCCCAGAATTCCACGGCCAGCATTGCTGGCTGTGGAATTCTGGGAGTTGAAGTCCACATGCCTTAAAATTGTCAAGGTTGAGAAACACTGGTGTAATCTGAGAACTATTAGGGAGGGACTGTCTTCACCCTCTTTCTCTCACACAAAATGACTGAATTGAGCTGTCTCTTATTACTCTGTAATGCACTCCCTCCCTCCTGGGAATCCAGCTTACTACATTCCATCACATACCCTCAGATATTGGAACTATGAAGTGCAATCTGACAAGGAAGGCAGTTTCTAAGTGGTACAAAGAAAAGTAGGCAAAGGAGAGTTTCTAGCTTGGTGTAGTTTCAAATATATAAGACACTCTTTTGAAAAGAATCCAGGCATTTTCTTTGCATACCCCCAAAGTCACTTACCCCGACAATGTGCTCCTTCATCATATTCATCAGGACAATCATAAATGCCATTGCAGAGCTGAGACATGTGAATACATCTGTCTGAGCCAGTACATTTGATATGATTCAGGGGGCACATAAATTCTATTTTTTCAGGACCTAAAGATAATAGAAAAGGGTAATTAATCAGCAGTTTAATTCTGTTCAGATACATAAGGATTACTAAGTGTAAAGAAAATACTGTACAATCATGTATTTGCATAATGTTTCCATTTTTATGCTAGCTACAAACTTTTTCATACATTAGTCTGCTATGCAGCTTTTCTGTGCATTACTAGCAGAATTATAGTTTCTTAATAAGGATTAACATAATTAAAGGAAAATCAATTGCTTAAAGAGGATTATTTTAAAACTACGCAATTTATCACTTTTGTGGCAGAGCTGCTTTTTCCTAAAGTTTATAGAAGCTGAAATTTATATCTAGCAAAATTAAGGACAGTGCTTAAATTGTGGCAAACTTTATTTAATTATTATTTTTCAATATCATTACAAGAGCTTGGGACTCTAATATAAGCCAGTGTTAGTCAACAATTCAGAGAAGAGAAAAAAATATGATCTCCATAAACAGACATTGTTACACCCACGCATACACATGCACACACACACACAAAGAGAGAGACACACACACACACTAACAGACATAGCCCCTGACATTTTCTATATAAGTTATTATTTAAGGCCTGTTATAAAAATAATGCTTTAATTCTATTTTTTCCAGACAATAGTTGAGCTCTAGAATGAGTCTGAATGAAGTTCTGGGTATCTGTACAATGAAATGTATATTGTTTTGTTTTGTTTTTTAGAAAAACCCTGGCAAGCAGCATAAATTATTATTGTGAAGATTCTCTCCTAGATCACTTCTCATACTCTCTGTTCATATGTAAACTTTGTACCTAAACCTACACTAATATGAATATGTCTCTCTGTGTGTGTATTATATAAGAAAAATAGATCTCAAATTAATTTGCAAAGAGTTCTGGAAACTGAATACAGTTATATAATGCTAGTCCTACCATTTGCAGATAAAATGACCACTAATTACCTGAATTACTTTAACTCCGTAGATCACTTCCTATGTATGCAAGCCATTTAATATATCCTATAATAAATTACTATCAATTGTCATTATAGGGCAAATTAAAAATAATTGAAGGGGATATTCTGGGTGAAGCAATGGTGGTTTAAGTCATCTTTGAAGGAGCAGAGATGATACTGTCATGTAGACTAATATTTGGGAAATGTGCCTGGGCCAACAGAGCCTCTCCAGAGATTACCCACATGCCCCAGACAGCTGCTCCTTGCAAGGAGAAGATAGGATTAGAGTTGATTTGTGAGTCTGAAAAATACAGGAACAATGACAAGTTCCAGCTGCAGTGGAGCGTATAAAGATATTGCATCTGCTAAACCTTATTTTCTAAAACAGTTGTCTATTAAAACTATCCTAATGCTAATAAAGATCTTTCCAGCAGCAAGTCAAAATAATATCACAGTGAGTGATCCTTCATTTCATTACAAATCAAAGAGTTAGATAGCAATTTAAAGAATTTAAGATTAAGGACAAAAAATCTTGATAAGAATTTAGTTTAAGAAAGGCTTAAACAGAGCAAGGATTCGATTCGAAATTTTATGACTTCTGGTAAAGTGTTTTTTAAATTAAATAAATAAAATAATACCTTTGTGGGAATGTAGACTTTTTAGACTGTCAGTAAGAAAATAATTGGTGGATTTTGAAAAAATGAAAAGATAAAGGTAATTTTAAACAGACCATGTGATCATAGAAATATGGAGTTCTAGAGGAAATGAAAGTCATAATGACTAGAGAGGGTGAAAAAGAAAAAAAAAACTCTTTTTGCTCTTGATAAAATGATACTGTATTACTAGAAAAACAATGAAACTTGCAGAATGACAGAAAAAGTATTAAATTTGAAAGATTTCACTGGGTCAAGGAACTAGGAAAGAAATCCATAGCTACAATAACAGTAACAATATATTGTTTATGTGAACACATCAGTTAAAAGAGTTTTCAATGAAGAGAAAAAAGTTGGGATTGAAAATAAGTTGGAAGAATCTGTAGGATCACTGAATGGACTGCTAAACAAAATTAAAGTCAAAGTGGAAGTCTTGTAAAACAAAACAGAGGTTTTGAAAAATAAGAGAGATACAAAATAGAGAGGAAACACAGATATTAAGTTAAGAGATGAAAAACAAGCTACGTAATGAAATAGCCTGTTGAAGGTTGGAAAAATATCTAGGATAGGAAGAAGGAAATATGGATGTCAACCATATCCTTCAATAGCACCTTAAAGTCAAATTAAGGATTAAGAATGTGAGATAATTTTACAAAAGTAAAGAATATCAAATGAGCTTGTTTGAGTAGGGATAAGATAACAAGTATTCTCATAAAATTCTGGAAATCCTTTAATGATGTTTTGGTGAAATTGGATAGAACCATTACTGTTTTTGCTGATGGAATCAGCAGATAAGAGATATGGGAAGAAGTGATCTCTGTAATGTAACTTTAAAGGGGAAAAGAGATGTTATGTTTACTTGTAATTGGTGTAAAGAAGGTCAGAAATAACCTCTTTTATGCTTTTCTTTCTGGTTTTCTCTCTTTCCATTTCTCTCTTTTTATTTTCTGCACTTCCTACCCCATCTTCTACTTTTTCTTTCTTTTTTTATTTCATTTTGTATTATCTGGTAAAATTTCAGTAAACAAGTATTGTTAAAAAAAGGAAGACATGCCATCAATATTCTATGCAAGATTATTATGCAAATATTAAAAAAACAAGGCATATTTACAGAAGGCAAAAGACAAGTCAATCTTTCATACTAAGAAATAAACCTAGCATAATCTGAACTGGAGTGAATTATGCTTCAGGATGGATCACATCTTAGAGCTACTTGCACTTTTGAAGAAAGCTATCCCATCACAAGATACCTGACACAATATCGTACAAGCAACCAACAAATTATTTCTGCAGCAAATTTATAATATCAACACCCACGGTGTCTCTCTGCAATGTTATGTAATGACGTTTGATTAATGACTGTAATTAAGGCAAAGTAGCACCATACTTAAACTAGAAACCCACACAAATACCATTAAGCCCATGTTTTATAAGTATAGGCTGAAATGAAAATACTATATTCCTGAAGAACAGAGTATCTGGGCAATAAAATTTAAACCCATAAATAAGTTATGAAAGGAGATTTTTGAAATGGATAAAAGCATAATTTCCATGCACTTTACAGAGCAAAGACATTTAAATTTATTATCATTAAGTCTTTTACTAAAATGTAAATATCAATTTCTAAATGTCCATTACTGAACACATTAAAACTACCATTGCTTTCTTATTTTTCTCTTTACAGAAATATATATGAATACTTTAGACAGCTAAGAGACAGTAGACATCAAAATATCTGAATGAGTGGCTGGCCAAAGATTATCTGTGGTAGCCAGGATGTGCATCTCGGTCAAAGAATTACATTTTCCATTCATCTGATCCAAACAGTCAACAGAGGTTTACTGAACTGTAGAGCTGTTGGGTTCTTTCATTAAAATTTAGCTATTTAGTGGCACACCTTTGTGACAGTTATCGATTTACTATTTACTATTTACCCATTTTGTTAGTCCTTTATTATTTATTTAGTGTATGGCAAGTAAATCAAGAGAAGACTGATTATACCATACAGTTTTCTGGAACATCTTTCCATAGGCAAGTAATTATATCAGCTATTATATTCAGATCTCAACACTTCTCAATGACTGAGATTTACCCCCAATTATCTAACATGTAGGCTGCATCAAAAGTTAGTCTTTATAGTCAAATCATAATATTTTTATTAATTTTTAAAGAAAAAAAAATGTTACTGAACTGACTGTTCCAAGGTCTACATCAAACATATAAGGAAGAAAATGGCAACCAATCTGAATTTTTAATGCGATTTATATGATGAATTTTCTATGGGGCTTCACTTTTGATGAAACTATGTATTTTTATTTGGCCTTTCACAGAACATTCTTATTGTAAACAAATAATAACTGTATAGAGATCAAACAAAACTGAGGTGGCCATGTACTTAGAATATAACCTTGTAAAATTAAACTTTCTGTTGAAAAAAGATCCTTATTTTAAAAAAAGAGAAAATAGAACAAAATGGAGATTGTTTATAATGCCCTATTCCTGTCACTCCCTTTGTAAGCTATAACTTCCTATAAACTTGCTCTTTGGTTTTGTGTCATATATTTCTTTTTATAATAATATTATAAATAATGCTAATGGCAGAAAGTGAAGAGGAACTAAAGAGCCTCTTGATGCGGGTGAAGAAGGAGAGTGCAAAAGTTGGCTTGAAACTCAACATTAAGAAAACCAAAATCATGGCATCCGGCCCTCTCAATTCCTGGCAAATAGATGGGGAAGAAATGGAGGTAGTGACAGATTTTATTTTTCTGGGCTCCAAGATCACCTCAGATGGGGACTGCAGCCAAGAAATTAAAAGACGCTTGCTCCTGGGGAGGAAAGCTATGGCAAATCTAGACAGCATACTAAAAAGCAGAGATATCACCCTGCCAACAAAAGTGCTATAGTCCAGGCCATGGTTTTCCCAGTTGCAATGTATGGCTGTGAAAGTTGGACCATAAGAAAGGCTGAGCGCCAAAGAATTGAGGCCTTTGAACTATGGTGCTGGAGAAGACTCCTGCGAGTCCCTTGGACTGCAAGGCATTCAAACCGGTCAGTCCTAGAAGAGATCAACCCCGACTGTTCTTTAGAAGGCCAGATCCTGAAGTTGAAACTCAAACACTTTGGCCACCTAATGAGAAGGAAGGACTCACTGGAGAAGAGCCTAATGCTGGGAAAGATTGAGGGCAATAGAAGAAGGGGATGACAGAGAATGAGATGGCTGGATGGAGTCACTGAAGCAGTAGGTGTGAACTTAAATGGACTCCAGAAGATGGTAGAGGACAAGAAGGCCTGGAAGAATGTTGTCCATGGGGTCACGATGGGTCGGACACGACTTCGCAATTAACAACAACAACAACATAATAATATTCTTGTTTAACTAGCTTCTGATAATTTCAGTATTGTAATTACAAT